AAAAAACGAAGAGTGATTTTATAAAAATGACCAGTGTGCTTTTAATACGTTTGAGCGTAGCATTAGCGCTCGAATTATTTTAGGGAGGATGTTTTGCAATAACCGCAGTCGCCTAACCCTTACCGAAATCCAGTCCTAATTAAGAGAAAAAAATATTTTGATGCAGGATTGAGGATAAGAAATAAAGGTAACCTCGTTTAATCAGCATTACCAAGTACCAATATACACCCTTCTAGTCCAAGGTTCTAAAAAACAAATACTGGATATTCTCACAAACAGCTTACTACATTCGTAATCAGGGTGGTCGATTACCCCTGTGCCAGTTCCCAGTCCGTAGCTCAAACTTTGCAAAAAAAATCGATAAAATCGATAAAAGTAGCGGATAATTCTAAAAACCAAAATTGCATTCGTATTCAGCATGCTCGATTACCCCCCTGTGCCAACTCCCAGCCCCGTAGCTCAAACTTTGCAAAAAATCGATAAAATCGATAAAAGTAGCGGATAATTCTAAACACTAAAATTGTTAATCAGCATGCTCGATTACCCCCCTGTGCCAACTCCCAGCCCCGTAGGTCAAACTTTGCAAAAAAATCGATAAAATCGATAAAAGTAGCGGATGATTCTAAAAACTAAAATTGTATTCGTAATCAGCATGCTCGATTACCCCCCTGTGCCAACTCCCAGCCCCGTAGGTCAAACTTTGCAAAAAAATCGATAAAATCGATAAAAGTAGCGGATGATTCTAAAAACTAAAATTGTATTCGTAATCAGCATGCTCGATTACCCCCCTGTGCCAAATTCCAGTCCCGTAGGTGGACTCGGCAAAAAAATCGATAAAGATCGATAAAATCGATATCGATCGATACGAAAAGTAGCCTATGACACCCGCCGGGGCCCGAAGTGTATGTGTGCCAAGTTTGGTCCCGATCGGTTCAGAAATGGAATTTTCTATTCGGAACATACGTACACACATACATACATACAGACAGACATACATACATACATACAAACAGACATTCAGCTTTATATATAAGATATATATATATATATCGTATTGTCAACTGTAAGATACCCACGACTACTTAAGCTGTCCATTAGTGTGACAGTTCAGTCATTTGTCATCAGTGGGTGGATCGTAAGTGAGCGGCGTTGCTGACATTGGTGAGTTGCCGTAGCATGAGGAATCAGTACCGTCCACTTAGAACGAATTGAATGAAGCAAGTGGAGGACGGCGTCGTATAAAGCAGCGAATACTGAGCCAGACTATCTTTCAGGCCTCTGAGGAAGGCATTATTGCCGAAACGTCAGGCTGAATAAATAATACTTATAACAAACCTGTGTGGCAAAATATCACAGAAGATAGTATTACTACAATGCCCAGGTTTCACGAACAGAGAACATATGAAATTCTACATGAAATATTTTTTCTCTTTTCAGGCTACCCAAAACTGTCGAAAGCATAATTATTGGCCAAGATGTCGTGACAGATGTAACTGGATGCATTGTCTTGCCAAATGGAACAATTCTTGCAACTGATGAAAAAGAGGGTTTGATCCTCTTTGACACACAGGGAAATGTTTTGAGAAAAGTAGGTCATAATGAATTCCACAAATTTCGAGAATCTGCTTCTTTTCAAACATTCACTTTCTTTTGAGCTCCCAACAAATGACAAATATTCTAGTACTTTTTCTGGATTAATTTCCTGGATTTGTCCAGGGCGTTCAGAGTGCTCGAAAACGCAAATATAAGCTCATGAATCTTCTTCAGCAAAGTACATGCTTGTCTCTATTCCCAGCTGTAAAGCATCTGGCATGAGAGTGTTCAGAGTTTTGAGGTATAAAAAAATGCATGTAACAAATTATTGTTAGATCCCTCATATGATCCATGGAAAAAATTTCCTCTGAGTCGCAAAGCAGCAACTGATCTGCAGTATGGAACTTATTGTTTTTATTTAACATAATATAAACAAATACGAATATTCAGAGAAATTAATAGCTGGCTTCAGAATTCAGCGAAAAATCTGCTTTTTAGGAAAATCCAGGCATTCATTTCTTACTTTTGTGACAAAAATGTTTTGAACTTCATAAAAGGTAAAAGGTTCACTAAAGGAACCAAACAAAACTTTATAAATTTACAAAAATAACAAATAAGTATAAGTAAGTACGTGATTCTGGGTCCTTCTTTATTGAGGAGTTCCGGGGAAGACCTAGAACTCATTTTAAACTCCGTCTAAGGATGGAACGAAAAGGAGTAATAATATTCAGTGTTCTCCTGAAATGTCAATTTTGCCTATGATTACATTTTAGAAGCATTATCACTTCAATTCTATTACTAGTTTATTCTTTTAGTCGAAAATCCTAAGTCTGCTTCATTATAAGAACTTTTTTGGGCTCAAAAAAATTACTGCCGCCCTTTCCCTGTTTTTAGAAAACATTTTTCTTTGCAACCGCCGTTGATATTAAGTATATTAACTGAAAAAATTCTTTTAGAAAAGATCATTGCTTTAGGCATGTCATACTTTCTGATATACTTTGAATTCAATATCTTTTATTTCAGGTCAACAACTCTGGCTGGAGGAAGCCAAGAAGTCCTGTTTATTACAAAGAGCATATTTTGGTGAGTGTTCTTTGGTCATATCTAGTTCCTTGGAAAATTTTCAGGCTCTTTTGGGGGCGTTATGTGTCAAAACGATTAATTTCATGATTTTGCCTTTTTTTCTCTTTAAAGCTGCAATTGTCGTTTTTTATTAGCCACTAGCTGGCTTACCCGGCTCCGCCGTATCCGGACCAAACTTGGCACACATACACTTCGGGCCCCGGCGGGTGTCACAGTCCACTTTTCGTTATCGATCGATGTCGATTTTACCGATTTTTATCGATTTTTTTGCAGAATTCACCTACAGGGCTAGGAGTTGGCACAGGGGGGGAAGTGAGCATGGGGATTCCGAATACAATATTAGTTTCCAGAATTATCGATTACTTTTATTGATCTTATCGATTTTTTGTAAATTTTGACATGCGAGGCTGGGATTTTGCACAGGGGGTAATCGAGCATGCTGATTACGAACACAATATTAGTTTTCAGGATCGTCCATTACTTTTATCGGTTTTATCGATTTTTTTGTAAAGTTTGACCTGCGGGGCTGGGAGTTTGCACAGGGGGGTAATCGAGCATGCAGATTACGAATACAATATTAGTTTTCAAGATCATCCATTACTTTTATCGATTTTATCGATTTTTTGAAAATTCGAGCTAGGGGGCTGGAATTTGGCACAGGGGTGTAATAGCATGCTGATCACCCCCCTTGGGGATGATCAGCATGCTCGATTACCCCCCTGTGCCAACTCCCAGCCCCCTAGCTCAAACTTTGCAAAAAAATCGATAAAATCGATAAAAGTAATCGATAATCTCGAAAACCAATATTGTATTCGGAATCCCCATGCTCGATTACCCCCCTATGCGAACTCCCAGCCCCGTAGCTCAAACTTTGCAAAAAAATCGATAAAATCGATAAAAGTAATCGATAATCCTGAAAACCAATATTGTATTCGGAATCCCCATGCTCGATTACCCCCCTGTGCCAACTCCCAGCCCCGTAGGTGAACTCAGCAAAAAAATCGATAAAAATCGATAAAATCGATATCGATCGATGACGAAAAGTAGCCTATGACACCCGCCGGGGCCCGTAGTGTATGTGTGCCAAGTTTGGTCCGGATCGGTTCAGAAATGAAATTTTCTATTCGGAACATACGTACAGACATACAGACAGACAGACATACAGACAGACAGACAGACAGACAAACAGACATTCAGCTTTATATATAAGATAGACACAC